ACTTAAGCTGTAATCCCATGTTAAATCCCATAGGGTGGGCGGGGGCCGGAGGGGGAAGGGGTAGCCGAACGAGCCTATAAACCACATTATTCATACTGAATTGTGGTTAAAAATGTAGGTTTTCTCCATGTTATTCCTATGAGACTAATGATAAGTCTATAGCAATAATAAGTTTATAGGTAATCCTAAGTCAATGGCAATGCTAATTCTATAGATAATGCTAAGTCTATGACGTATATGGGAGTAATGTTATTTCAATGGGATAAAGCTTTCTCTATAGAGATATACTAAATGAATCTGACATAGTAAATAAAACTAATTCTTGTAAAAAACATTCAAAACTTTCAAAATAATAATAGTGAAAGTCTTCCAACAATCGTATTGAAAATTTTAAAATTTTTTGATGCATTTCCCGAATTGTGGTTAACGTATAAAATCGCTGTGTGATTCTTGTTTATTCATTGCTATAATAATAATTAAATAATTGCATTTACACTAAAAGTAAAATACCATATTTATATTATTTTAAAATAAGTCCAGACGCTAATTTTAGTTGCGCAAACTTACTCGCCAATAAATCAGTTAAAAGTCACGTATAGTCAAACACCATTTCCGCTTCACAAATAAAAAAATAAAATAAAAATTAACACACATTACTGTTATAGCAATGAACAAAGCGAGACTGGCAACAATTTTGATGGTGATGGCGGCTACGGCCGTGGTGGATCACGTCCAGGGTGATATAATCACCTGGGTGAGTAAGGAGCTGCTGGACGATGGCACCGTAAAATATAAGTATGCAGTATAACAATGCGTAAAAAAAGATTGCCCTGCGCTAGATAGCGAGAATGCCCTATGCTACTTCACTAAAGAGAAAAAGGGCGAACCAATATGTGGCTCAATTAGTCGCATGGACGAACAGGGATTGGGGCCGTTTTATAAGCAAAATGATAACCCGACCAGTTATGAAATCTGGCTGGAAAAGAACCATAAAGAGATAACAAAGGAGCAAGCTAGAGACTATTGCAAATTTCGTGAATGCACCGCCGTATGCTATTTCCGTAGCCCTAATACCGAGCCCAAGTGCGAAAAAGATAACGTACTTTCTCCAAATGAGTTCGAGAAAGTGGAGCGGTAAGACAACTATCTGATTTATATGTAAATTGATGTTTACTAGTAAACAAGTTTTTCAATTGTTTTCTTTTAATCTATATTTACATTTTTAAATATTTAATAATTTTGTTTAAAATATTACTGTTCATAATTTATTTCATAACTATCTCATTTTAGATAATTTAATATTCAGCTAATTTTTTATTTTAACTAATAATTAAAATTAAATTAAATTTATTAAGGCATAATAGTTACTAAAAATCAAACAACTATATTTAAAATCTTATACATTTAAAGACATTTTAATTATAATTGCAATACCATATTAATCACCTATTAACATACAGTATGTAGAATATAGTATATAAATAAATTTAATATTTTAAATTGGATTGTGTCAGCTATTCACTTAAATTGCCCAGGTTCAAAGCTAGATCACATCATATTATTTTTATTTGTAATATTTTAGTTTGTCTGATTTTTCTAATAACAAAAAATTGTAAATTCAATTTTGTTTAAAAAAGTATTTTTTAAATATTACTTAACCGAGTTTTAACACCGTTTATAAGAAAGTTTTCAAAGTTACTGACATTACAATATATAAATATTACTAATTAAAATTAATTAAACATTTCCACAAACATGGTGTGATTATTAAACCAAGGTGAATTAATTTTATTATTACTGGTTTTGTCAAAACGCAAGCCTATTTTGTACAGAAAAGTCCCAATAGGTTTGCATCTAATGTTACAAGGTAATAATTTGCTAAGATGAATATTGTCTATTTTTTAAACAATTTACTGAATGATAAAGTTACTATAGACTGTAATTATTTTATATTTGATTGTAATTGTTTATTTTTTATCTAATTATTTATTTGTACATTTTTATTTTGTATTATGCACTGTACATTAGTTCATTTGTAATAGTAAATATTGTAATAGTATGCATTAATGAATATATTTTTATAACAATACAATTAGCATTATGCATTAATTTTATGCAATTCAATTAATATGACAATTACACTATACAATTGAGTATAATAACATGAATGACACATTTACATTATTGTTATTAAAGTAAAAATAAAAATTAACCACAATTAAAATTAAATTTAATTAAAATTTTACAACAACTCTAAAAATTTATATTACTGTATTATAAAAGTTTCAAATCTATTATATTAAACTTTAATTGTACAACTAGGTGCAGTGTATAAAAGTTAGTGCACTGTAGAAACTTGAGTACACTATTAATTATTGATACAGTAGCTAGCAAAAATAATTCACTGCTTAGATTAGCTGATATATTTCAAGGTAATAGTTTTACATTGATAAACCTGTAATTAGTTATATGGTATAATTAAAATTAAACAATGTTTATAAATGTTATACAAAAGTCCATTATTAAGGCATAGAATTATTAAACATGTTCAGATAAAAAAATTTATTGCCATTTTCATTCTGGTATATAATCAGAAAAATGCACATATTAAAAACAATTATTGTTGTATACAATTATACATGTATATGACATAAAAATCTCTATAATAGAAAATTATTACCAGCGTTGGGCTTTTTGTAAGGCTCCGTTACTCTCACTCTCGCTTTGACTCTCTCCCCTAACCCCTCTCTATCACTCTCTTTGTCTCCCCTAACCTCCCTCTATCCCTCTCCCACATAACTCATAGCTATACAGATATAAAGTGATTAAAGTTGTGTTTTTATTTTGAGGTACAGGTTAAACCTCTTTATATGTAACAAATAAATAGAGTACGTTTATATTATACGGGAAAAAATGTACTTGTTATTTAATAAACTAAAAGTTAACTAATATTAAATACAAACAATACCTAATAATTTTTATTGAAAAATGACCCTATACGCATCAAATACCGCGTTTATGGCACGTTATATGGCCCTGGAGCAACCCAAAAACATGGTCCAGTTACTTATGTCTACCTCAACCCAGGCAACGACATGGGCGCCCATTTATGTGGCAAAACAAGAGTGTTTGATTTCATTCCCACTGACCCTGATCAGTTACCTCTATGAGACACCGGTATGTACACAGATTTTAGGCAAGAGCTACTGATACGACCGGTACGTATATACCGGGACCCGTTCCGGGGCGGCCAAAATCGGTTAGTACTGTGCGATACACTATCGTCTGATGATAAAACGCCCATGGCCAATAATCACCGGGCTAGTTGCCTGGATGCCATGGAAAAGGCGAGTGATTATGAGACATGGTTTGGTGTTGAGCAAGAGTACATGTTGCTAGATGGCGTAGCTTGTAAGTGGCACCTGGGTTGGCCCGTTAATGGCTACCCAGAGCCGGTGATGTCTGCCGATGCTCTATATCACGGCGCTGTCGGGGCTAACAATCAATATGGTAGGGATGTTATGGAAGCTCACTTCAGGGCGTGTATGTACGCCGGGGTTATGATAAGTGGCGAAAATGCCGAGGGTCAACCATCCCAGTGGGAGTACCAAGTCAGTTTTATTTTGATAACCATTATTAAATTATTTTATAATTGTTTACCTGGTTATTTAAACCAGTTCCCTATGAATGCTAATCATGTATAATTATAAATAAAACTAAATAAACTCTTATAACCATGTATAATAATTAATACTCTACTTATTTACCCAAAATTGATCCGTGTGATTGCCTACGACTGGGCGACGATCTAGTAATGTCTCGCTATATACTACTCCGTGTGGCCGAAGACCTGCACATTGGGGTAACGTTTGACCCGAAACCAGTGCCGGGTTGGCTCGGGTGCGGTGCGCACATGAATTTCAGCACTCGACGCACGCGCAACAGCGGCGGCCTGGCCGAGATTGAACGCGCTTGCCACAAACTGGCCAAAACACACGCTAAACACGTGCGCGCTTACGACCCTAATGGCGGGGCTGATAACCAGCGCCGTTTGACTGGCCTGTGGTGGTCGAGCAGTAGTACGGAGTTTACGTGGGGTGTGGCCGACAGGTCGGCCAGCGTGCGAGTGCCCAAACAGGTTGCGCTAACTGGCCGGGGCTATCTGGATGATCGTAGGCCAGCGGCTAATTGCGATCCCTACGCGGTTTGCGAGGCACTGGTCCGCACGTGTTGTTTAGATGAGCTATGATTATAATGATGTAGTTACAAATTGATTTATGCTCAGTGATCTATGAAATGGTTTAAACTTGTATAACCTGTATATTATTTTTAATTAAATATTAAATTTTATTTTGGCGATAAAAATAATTAAATAATTTACATTTTTATACACACCCTATTGCCTCAGTCATATCCACTTGGCTCTACAGAGGCTATAAGTATAGACGGTATTCAAAAAATGACCGCATTTTCAGACATGGGAGACACAAACAGCGGTAACACTATTTTCAAACATACCCTCCAATACCCAGTATTTGTGGCCAATTATGACATGTGAACATAATAAAAATAATTAGACAAAAATTGCATATAATTAATTAATAATTAACTAATTATCTATAAGATGTCAGGTTAAGTAATTAAGTTATAGATTTTGGTTAAATAAACCATACTTGAATAAATTCATTATAAAAATGGAAGTTAATATAATAATATTGCTCACAATTTTGATTGTGGTAACGGTTTATGTTACACAAACGGCATGCAAACCACCAAACAAAATTACAATCCATAAAGGTGGAAGAGTAACCAATAATGTCGGTAAAAACAGGAACAATGGCGGAAACAACGGTAATAATAATGATGAATAATCTCAAAACGCGGACACTAAAGTGGACGTCTGGGTAATTGTTAGAAACGTTATTAACGATGAACTTTATAAACAGAGGTGCAAAGAATTGCTTTGTCCTAGATTATGTTAGGATATTATAAATTAAGAGAAAAAATACCGACTTGTGGCACTAAAAATGAATTGGTTGCGCGCAAGTATCATAAATTGCACGGCCTCACCACTCAGAAACAAGGTGAAAATGGAAATTATAAAGATCGGCGAGCTGAACTTTTAAGCAATCATCACGATGATCAAGTGGCGAGCATTACGTCGAACGTGTGGATACATAGAAAACACTGTAAAATGAAACGTGAGGGCTGTGTCCACACCAGCGATGCATTCGAGGCGTGCGCCGAATTGAGCTGTCCAGATACGTGTTATTATGAACAGGGAGAATTTAAGCCGAGTTGCGACGATGAGCGGGATTCACAAGTTAAGGAGTATCATAAGTATACTGGTTACGATAATAGACACTCACGACAACAAGGTAATAACAATCAACAGGATGGTGGATCAAAGAGGTCTGGCCGAAATAGATCAGGATCAAGGGATAGTGAACATGATGATTCAGGATCAGGTGATAATGGACAAGATGGATCAGGATCAGGTGGTAATGAACCAGATGGATCAGGATCAAGTGGTGATGAACCAGATGAATTAGGATCAGATGGTAATAGACAAGGTGGATCAAGATCAGGTAGTAGTAGACAAGGTGGATCAAGATCAGGTGGTAGTAGACAAGGTGGATCAAGATCAGGTAGTAGTAGACAAGGTGGATCAGGATCAGGATCAAGTGGTAATAGACAAGATAGACCAAGTTCACAAGGACTGCCATCACACGAACCCCAATCGTGGCAAAATCCAAACAATAAAGTGCCCACCTACATGCATAAAGAACACGACAGTACAAGAAAGGATTTTATTAAAACGAAATGCGCCGATATGAATTGTCACGATGTGTGCTATATAAACAAACTTGCCATTATGCCCGAATGCGGCGGCAAAGATATAGATCATGATGATAATTATGAACGCATAGACGGTAACAACAATAACTACAATGGAGGCAACTCACGTCGACGTGACTCACGACCATCCGACCCGGATAGATAAAGTATGTTGGATTAAATTGCCTGCCAGAACATCGCAATATGTGCATATTTATGTTCACGAGTAATTTAAACTTTGTGCACATGCATAATTGTTAAATTCTTTGATTATTGTCTAATTGTAATTTGTTTTTGTTATTTATAATATAAATAAATGTTATCCTGATTAAATTGTTTTTATTTTAATATTTAAATATATGATTTTATATTATTATTTATAATATAATATAAATTATACAAATTTTTATTTGTTACAAATATTTATTAAAGTTAATTTTGATAATAAGTAATTAAATATTAGAAAATTACAACTAAATAAAATAGCAATTAAAAGTCTTACCCAGGTTCAAAAACTACCTAGGGCCATATTACTTTTATTTGTAATATTTTACATTTCAATTTGTCTATGATTTTTATCAATACCTAAAAAATTGAAAATTCAATTTTGTTTATAAAAATATTGATTCAATTGCATAACATGATTTAATTTTTAAATTTCATTACATAAAATTTTTATTTTACTTATTTGTATAATTATTAATAATTTTTGTAATAATTTGTATATTTCATATCACAACATTATAAATACAATATTTTCAATGCTAAAAGACAAATAACATCTTATTTATGAGTTAATAATTTTTATAATTAAATAAATAATAAGATTTCGTATAATATATAATTGTATTAATTTGCATGTACATTAAATTTTATTATTATTAAGTCTAATTACGTTTGTATTTCATTTTAACCATACATATAAAAATTACTTCCGAATTTATAATAATTCAATTTAAAAAATTGTAAATATTTAGAATATTTAAATTGCAGTTATTTTGATATAAGTAATAACAATTATTTTCATAGATATAAATGTGAGAATTATCTCAGCAATTATCTAAAAATAAACAATAACTAATGTAGTTTAACATGATCCATATAAATTAAAAATAAATATAACAAATACACACTTCATACAATCTAAAATAATTAATTTTAAATAACTTATGACACAAACAGCCAATATTTTTGCAACTATTAGCAACAAGTGTTTTACTTTATTATAGTGATTAATTATTAGTAGTTAATAGTTATTTTGGTATTTTATAAATTGACTTTATGGTAGATAAAATATACTGTATATGTAAAGTTATAATAGAATTACTTCTAGAATTTATTATAATTTACAACTTTATGACATTTCTACTTTATTTCTATACGTATCACAAAACGACATCTATAAAAATTCAAATATAGCCAAAATAATAATAATATTTGTTATTATAATAATATCTTGTTATTTAATTTATTTTGTAATGAATATTGATCTATATTTAATGATGTTATTAATATAGATTAAATCTATTGATTAATTTAATAATAATAGCTAAAATAATTTACAATAGAAAATAATTAAAACAGGGATATCACAAATACAGTAGAAACTAAAATTTCAAATTGTCATATTTATTAAAATACTATGGTTAAAATGGTTTGGAAATTAACCAGGTCCCAATTATATAAACTTATCTCTTATATATTATGTTTGATGGGATGTGTGTATCAAACGTATA